TGAGATCTACTAGCTGATTTTTGGTTTTTATTTGTTTGTTGTGATGCTAGTTTTTACTTTGAATATTTAACATCTCTTTTTTGGTCATTTGTTTTTAGATCATGATGCCTCTATTCAAGCCTATGGTTTTATCAAAGGATAGGAAAGTGAGCCACTATTCCTTATATGTCATGAATCAGTACCGAAGTAGCGTTGACGTCCTTGACTCTTTACCTTATCCGAAGAACCACCGCCCTTCGAAGAACACCTATCACAAAGACTGCGAGAAGATTGTGAGCGACATTTATTATCTGTACTGGATTAATATTTCTGCATCTTTGTTTCTGCTGTTTGAGACCTAAAACTGTGTCGGTTGTTTTGTTTTTTTACAGATTTCTAGATTGGTCAAAATAATGAAGGTTGTGTATGGTGATGCTCAGTACAATGCAAGCAAGCAGCCCAATTGGGAGCTGTTTGCAAAGAAACCAACGTTTGTCAAGGTTCCACTTCAAGGGAAAAATGAATGTGGCCATTATACTTTGAAGTATGCGGGATGCTATGATGGTGAAAAGATCGTTGAGAACATTCGAAATAATGACGTGGGTTTCTTGTTGAGCTTTTCAATTTCTGTTTTTGGCTTATTGTGCATCCTTTTTTTATGTGTCATGATTTTTGATAATTTGTTTTATTGTTTTGCAGCCACGCATTGTTGATTGGAACGCTGAGGATCTGTATAGAGTTGTGTTCAACCGGAATAACCATCTTATGGTGACGGAGCTTCCCAAGGAGGTTCAGGCTTTGGCTCCTGATGCATAGGATAAATGGTCATCATTTGCATAGTGAATTTGATAGTTGTGTGATATATCTCTTGAAAACATTGTAGGCTCTGTTTTGAAGTGTTTGATGTCTTGTCGAGTACTATGTAATAACTAGTATATTTTGTATTGTGTTTTAAGTGTGCACAATGTTTCATCGGGAATTCATTTTGGTTAAGTTTTTTTTTGTACTGAAGACTTATATAGTAGTTGAACTGAAAACAATTTTTTTTCAAGTGTATTTTCGCGTTGTTGCTCAGAAAGTGAGATTTATTTTATTTTTATGTGATTCCATCCTAACTTGGACCTTTATAGTTTCTGTACTCTCGTTTTCTTGTACTTATGATATAGTTCTGTTAGTACTGATTTGTAGTCTCATTCAGCGTAAGGCTTTCAAAATTTTAGTGCCAAATTTCTTTTTGAACTTCTTGAACTTTAGTAGTTGAACTTCATAGTAAAAGTTAAATTACTGGTTTAAATTAGCTACGTTTAAGAGATAGTCCTATTAAGTTCAAAACAATTTCTTTCTCAATGCATTAATTGGTATCATCATAGCACTTACCGAATAAACTTAGTCGTACTGAGATTCCAATTGTGCTAGTACTTTTGATTAATTATTTATTGTTTGTGTTGTTTGATGCTAGTATGTCTTCTGTTGTGTTTCTTGTGATTTTTCTCTTTTGTCGAACTTATATCTTTTTGATTAAGTTATTGGCCTTCTTTTTTTCTAGGTTGTGGTTCTTGTCCAGGCAATGTTTGGTATAATCCTAGCACTTGCTGTATAGACTAAGTTGTACTGAGATTTCAGTTGTATTGCCACTGTTAATTCTTAGTACGTCACTGTTTTAAGGAATGCAAACTGAAGCTTCCCGTTCCTTTTTATATATTTGTAGAATGAACGTACCGTGTGTTCAATTGTACCAGAACTTTTCAGTCCTAGGATGCTAGTGACTAGGAAATACGTACTGGTGTTTCTTTGCTTTTTCTGATGCAGTACTTAGTGAATTTCTAACTACTTTTTACCGCGATGCTTTTTAGTATTGAATGTTGTCCTCGGCTGAAACTTAGTCTTTTTAGTGTTCGTCTAAAACTAAAAACTGGTTTTTTTAGCGTGATAGTACTTCCGTTCATGTCTAAGCTGTACTGAGAGTCGAAGGCTACTATTTGCTTTTGGCCTTTATTTAGTCTTCCACTTTTTTTGCAAAAATATTCATGTGTTATTTTTTTTCTCCATGACTAGTGCTGCTGCGTGGCAGCCATCAAGTTTCAACTTCAACCTACTTCAACTTCAAATGATGGATGAACAAAATAGGAAGCTAGCAAATTTGTTGGACGACATAAGCAAACGATGTACTTGATAGACGTAGGCAAACTTGTTCAAACCCTGACACGCATAGCATAAGGTAGGTGGTTCAACATAACGAAAGCAAATTACAAATCTGAAACAACAATACTAAGGACACACAGAGCATAAGGTATCTGGTTCAACATAACAAATGCAGACTTTCATGCATCTTCATCCGCGAAGTTGCAGTGGTAGTATGGGTCACCCTCCTGCTCTTTTGAACTATCCCAACCTGTCACGATGTTGTCGATTGTCTTCCGTGACTTGTACGTTGCGTACGCATCTATTCCTGCGTACGTGATGAGGTTGTCTGGCAGCAGGTTGTTCCCCCACAGTTTGTGGTCTTCCCTGTTCATCTTCTTCTTCATGCCTTCGTAGAATGGGTGGATGACGCCGCCTGCAACATCGGCCAAGGAGTCGTAGTTGAACTTTTAGATTTTTAGTAGTTGAACTTGTCAGTTTTTCTATAAATAAGAATTTTAGCATAGTTGACAAACATTATATGTTTGAACTTTTTGAGCTTTAGTAGTTGAACTTGTCAGTTTTTATATAAATAAGAATTTTAGCATAATTGACAAACATTATATGTTTTGAACTTTTTTAGTTTTAGTAGTTGAACTTGAAAGTAATATTTAATTCTGTTTTTTAAATTATGTACATTTAACAGAAAGGCTATTAAATTTTGTTCTTTTAAGAGGTTCATTGTTTTTGTATCATATTTTTTTCCTTTTTTCTTGTAGAGGTTAATTGACAAACATTTTTCTTGTGGTTTATATTTCTTTGTCCCGCCCTCTGGTTTGTATACTTGGGCTTATTTGGTGGGGTGTTTTGTTGACGATGTAGGCTATTGGGCCGTTTTCCGGCCCAGATAGCTCGTCCGCGCGCCTGTGCAGTGCGTCGTGCGCGTGCGCTCTGGGTTTAGTCCCACCTCGCTAGTCGAGGGGGCTCCGGACCTGTTTATAAGCGCAGCCGACGCTCACTAGTCGAACTCCTCTGAACACTTAGCTGAGCGCTTATACACGGCGCTCGCTCTCTCTCTTGACCTATGGGCCCTGGTCGGTGGGTCCTGCGTTGTGCGGATTACTAGGGATTCGCCCACGGGCTCGAGTTCAAGTATCTAGCATTGTCAGGGCCTGCGCCTGACCTTGGGCGGTCAATTTTTTTGTTTGTTTGAATCTAGTACTTGAGTCCTCCAGTAACTTGGACTGATACTTTTTGTTCTAGTTCTTGTCAGTTTTGTGTGAGTGTAATCTTTTTTCATTTGAGTTTTTTGCCTTCTTTTTTGTGTTTGTTTTTGTGATTATTCTTAAGTGTCTTCTGGTGTCATTTTTAGAACTATGATACTTGCGTGTAGACTGAGTTGTACTGATAGTGCATTCATAGTAGCGCTTACGGACTGATGCTTCTTTGTACTTTTTATTGTAGTAAGTATGCAATGTCCGATCAAGTGTACTGAGTTGTGCTGACATGGAACAACGTTGTGTGATTAGTTGCATCATAACTAGTACTTTAGAGCAACGACAACGTTCCATTCAGAAGCTACTTTTCAATTTTGAAATGATGGATTAACAACATACGAAGCTACCAAACCAAACTTATATAATGAGATAAGCAAAACATTGTACTTGATGACATAACTAAACTTGTTCAAACATGACAAGCACGACATAATCATACTGGTTCAACCCAACAAGAGCAAACTTCTAATTTGAAACAACAAGATAAAAGGCAAGCACAAGCGGAAGTAAAACGAAGGCAGGCTCTGATGTATCTTCATCCCTAAAAGGGACAATAGGGGTGGTCGTAGAAGTTGTTAGCCTCCCGCTCTTTCGCAAATTCCGAACCATCTGTGATGTAGTCGATCATGAACCATGACTTGTACGCGGCGTATGCATCTACTCCTGCGTACTCGATGAGGTTGTCTGGCAGCTCGCTTGTCCCCCACAGTTTGTAGTCTTCCTGCGTGTTGATCTTGTTCTTCATGCCTTTGCAGAATGGGTGGATGACGCTGGCTGCAACATCAGTCCAGGAGTCGTACTATTTTCCGGTGTATGGAACTCTCCACTTGCGCTGAATGTCGATGAACTTGTTGGGGTTGATCTCCATACCGGACAACTTCAGCTTCTCTTTGTCGCTTTCAATGCTCAAACCGGCAAATGTGAACAACTTGTCATGTTGCAGCATGTCGGTCAGGCGCTTGGGCCTGCAAGGGCAGAGACATTTTGAATATTAGCATTACTTTGATGTTTGAATTATCCATTTTTGTTTTGTTTTACAAGTGATGAATCCATGAAGTAGTTGTTTATGTAGGATAAACAATGGATGAATGTACTTCAAAAACTAGTAAAGAAAGTTCTGAAATTAAATTAAGTACATCATGTTATTCTTCTTCTTGGATTATACATAGTTTCAGTCAATGTTGTATGTTCTGCATTGGTACTAGTTTAGTCTACTTTTGTTGGAATAGGATAACACAGAACCAGTGCTTCACCAAGTCCTTAGTTTATTTTCTTACGAAAATAACATTACATCAAATTCAGAAAATACTTCACTACATCAAGTTCAGAAACATCTTTTTTAATACATCAAGTACATAGACTACTATATTGTATCAACTTCATAAACTACACCAGTCGATCAACTTCAGAATTGAATCTTCCGCAAGATTTTCCAAATAGTAATCCAGTGCATCAGGTTCAAAAATACATTTATAGTATATCCACTTTAGAAAATGCAGTAGTGCATCCACTGTTCACAAACCACACTAGTACATCTAGTTGGGAAACAAGTATGATTAAATTTTCAGGATACAGTACTAATAAAACAGATAAACCATATGCAGGGCAAATGAGTAGGATTGCTCACCATTTTGTGGCCGCGGCGATGTGGTACACCAAGCAGAGTTCGTCGACGCACAACTGCAGGACTGCCGCCATCTGGGGAGGTTCATCTTCGTTGGTGTAGTGCACACCAACACCGACGATCCTACGAAACCTGCCGCCAAGCTTCATCCACAGCCTGGAGATCACCTCGTCGGCCTTGTCTAGTTCGCTGGTGCAGACGATCTCCATCGTCTCCTTGCCGTGGAGCTCAACCCCTTTGAGCATTCTGGTGTAGTTGCGCTTCTCGCCGGGGACTTTAATGTCGACGAGGTTGCTCCTCTTGTCCGACGTCTCGGCATGATGACGCTTGGCGGACGGTTCCTCCGCCATGGCCTTCCTCCGGCGACTTTGGGCTTTGGAGAGAGACGCTGGAGGTTTGTGTGCAGTGGAAATGGAAGCAGCAATGGTGGTTTGTGGGAACGAGGGAGAGATGGAATACAATGGGGTATTTTTTTAGTGCGCCAACGGTGGTGTGTGGGAGGCGGTTCGTCGGGGGCGTGTGTGTATTGGGTGATATGGCGTGGGGTCGCCGTTTTGCAGTGCGTCGTGGCAACCGCCCAGTGAGTGGCACGGGTGGCGGCGTTGAAGAACTAACCGTCCAATTTAAATGGTTTTTACTGTTGAACTAACTAGTCTTGTCAAGCTGTACTTTTGACCTGCAAAATCCCACTTGCACGTCTCTGCGGTGGTGACGATGGCATTTTACTGTGGCACCGATTCGAATAGTCAAGCTGTACTTATCAGCTGCTTATCCCACTTGCACGTGTCAGCGTCGGTGTTGGTGGAGGTCTGAACTCCTCTACTGTCGTACTCAGACTGGTGATTGAAGTGTAATTGAACGTACCAATTACCAGCGAGACTATGTGTGGTGCTAATGTTTTTTTAAAACAATTTTCATATTTTTTAAGGATTGTTTATATCAAGATAACCTGTGAGTATTTTTTACAGATTAGATTTTCACCAGTACAGGATGCATTATATTCGCATTTTCCTTGAGGTAATTATTTTTATGTACTGATAGTCTTTCTGAATTGGGACTGGCAGGAGCAGGCATAGCTTTTTTTTTCAAAACGATTTTTTTTCAGTCGTTCACTGGTGTGTTTGTTATTACTATGCCTTTTGTACTACCGATAGAGAGTTATCAGTATTGATGTAATACAAGAGTTTAAATTTTTCCTTGACATATTTTTTGCTGAGTTACTGGTTCACAGTAGCGTTTTGCGTCAGATATATCAAGATAAGTTTTTTCAATTTTATTTTTGACTGCATTCAAAAGGATTATCAAATGGTTTAAATAATAATGTCACTGCTTCAGTAGGCACAAATCAGAAATTATATCAGCACTGATGTGTACTCTGCCTTGTACTGACGAATGAGAGTTATCAGTACTGAAGTGCTACAAGAGTTTAAAATTTTCCTTGACATATTTTTTCCCTGAGTTGCTGGTTCACAATAGCGTTTTGCGTCGGATATATCCAGATAAGTTTTTTCAAACGTATTTCGTGACTGCATTCAAAATGATTATCAAATGGTTTACATAATAATGTCACTGCTTCAGCGGGCACAAATCATAAACTAAAAAAGAACTTTAGTTCTGATAGAGAAATCGACGATAAAGCTAAATAAGTTTTGGTAACGACAGTGTTTTGTGAAATGCTTCCTCATTGTGTGCTGATGCAACCGAGACTACAAGGTTATTTTTTAGTTGACGCAGCAGGAAAACCAATATGTATTGTTCAGTCTTGAGCTTCTCCTAACTGTCCCTGAATGTTGTGCCTTACCGGCGCTCTTTCCAGGTTGAGCCTTGGCAGCTTCATTGTCAATTTCAGTTTCCTCGCCCCCGACACTGTCATCTTCATTGTCTTCGTCTGATTGGTCGTCATTGTCATCAAACTCTTCTTCTTCATCGTCTTCATTTGATTGCTTGGAACTCTGTACATTGCCCTGTTTATGTTCAGCTCCACTGACCTCCTTGCCCACTTTGCACGTGCGGGCATTATGCCCGTCAGTTCCGCCACACTTGCGGCAAGTGTAGCTGTTACGTGCGTTGTCTCCATTGGTAGAAAGCTCGGTGGCTCCAATCTGCTTGTTCTTGTTGACAGTGGCATCTGTGCGGAGTGGGCATGTGTGGTAGTTATGGTTGCTCACGACGTTGCAGAATCCGCATGCCCTTACCCCGAGGGGTTTGCCGTCCGGGCCAAATTCCACGCGCTTGATGGGGCGTGGTGGCTTTTTGGCTGCTGCTTGCGTCTTGCTCTTCCTCCCCTTTGTGTTTGAGAATATTGGGGGTTTAATCACCTTTTCCTACTGCTGCTGGTAGGATGTGCTATTGTCATGTCGTTCGCCTACAGCACCATCGAGCTCATGATCTCGCATGTGACTTTGTCGGTGCTCTTGAGTGTGCACACGGGCAAGCTCCGGTTGCTGCTGCTCATCTTCCTCGTTCTCAAACGGGTCAATAGCTCCCATATGGTTCATCTCGGATAACATTGTAGCAATATCCTGCTCAATGGCTTCATTGTCCGCGACACCTCCATTTTCAGCAGAATGCATGGCGTCGAGTTCTTGCTCAAGTTTGTCCATGACGACTCACTCCTTGCCATTTGCTCTTGGCTTCTCAAGATTTTTCCGTGCACCCTCATGTTCAGCGTCAGCAATGAGCTTTCAATGCAGTATTGGGATGCCTTGTTTGACGCTACTGTCCTCGAGTCATTTCTGTCAAATGTTGGCTGGATGTTCGGGCGTTTGGTGTATCTCCTGAGTATGTATTTCTCTGGAACGCTTTCAGCCTTAATTGTCTGCATCATGCATAGGACATGGACGCAGAGAAGACCTGTATTTGTTTTTGGAAGAGGTGCATGTTTTTTCTTATTTCATTCGAACAAAAACTTTGCAAAAAAAGTAGTACAGTATGTAACATCTTTTTTGTAGTCCTTACCTGTGTGGTCCCATAGCCTGCACTCGCACTCATATGTTTCTCCCACGGGGTCTTCAACCACCTGGAACGCGTGCTGAGCCCACACAGAGAGTTTTTGCGGGTGGTTGTAGTGCACTAGGTACTTTGTGGGCTCTTCCGTCTCTGTCACCGTGAAGAGAGTGCTCAGCTTTAGCCTATCTCTGATCTCGCTGTACACAGCTCGTGTGTACAGCTTTGCCATCTAGGTGTCAAACCCATAGAAGGTCAGCGTGTTTTGTTCCTTCTGCACATGCAAGAATGATGACCAAATTGTTAGTTTTCTCGCAGGAAAAACTTCTAATAAAGTTTTTACTTTAGTAAGCATGTAATTTTTTGTCTTACAACAAGTGATAGAGCAATACCCGGTTACCCATTGTCTCCTGGTTCTCTGTCTGCCTCCTGGTTTTGACGCAGGAGTTTACCTGGCTGACAAACCGGTGTAGGTTATGTCTCTCATTTACGTAGTTCTTCTTAAGCACATAGTTCATGCTCTCACTTCGCTGTGTCGATGTCATTTTGGCGCAGAAAATTTCTTTGAAGTAGGCTGATATCCATTTCTCATGCTCGTTCCACATGCCCACCATTGTGGCATCATCGTGGAGGTTGTACTTATCCATGAGTCTTTTCCAGGCATCCTCAAACTCAGTTGGCATGAGGGGCCAGTTGAGAATTGATGTGAATTCATCCTTAAAGTCGTCGTGCAGGAAATACAAGTACGCGAGGTGTTCCCTGTACTTCTTCATAATGTGGCAGCGACTTAGCTTATGTAATGTGTTCTTGAAAACATCTGCGATCGCCAAAGCCATTGCCGGGCACTGGTCTGGTAATGAGAAAATAGACTCGGAGTGGTCAGCAGATGGTTGTGCATATATACCAATAGAACTGACACAACATTTTTATTGTGTTACTTTCCTTTTCTTTTTTGGAAGGGGGTGGTGGTTTGGGGTGGTTTTAGCGGGTGTACCTGTGAGGATGCATGTAGGAGCCTTCCTTCTCATGCACCTTAAAAATGTCTCGAACAGCCACTTGAATGAATCTGCATCCTCATCTCTTATCAGGGCAAAACCAAAGAATGTAGTCTGTAAGTGGTTGTTAGTTCCGACAAACACCCCAAGTGGCATATGGTACTTGTTGGTCTTATATGTTGTGTCAAACATTACGCAGTCCCCGAAGTCCTGATACGCCCCTCGACAGCTTGCGTTCGCCCAGAATATGTTCTTAACTCTGTTGGACTCATCGAGTTGCATGTCACAGAAGAATTCCTTGTTTATAGCTTTCATCTCCCTAAAGAAGTTGACAGTCTTTAGGACATTGTCCACATCATCCATCCTTGAATTCTTTGCTTTCCTGCATATTAAAAGATCATTCAAAAATGCATGTTGAACTGGCGTCAGGTCATGCGTTGTGTGATATGTTTGTACTGACAGAGGAAAGAATATGTAGGCGGTTTATGGGAGGAGAACAAGATTGTACTTACAGGTTAATCAAGTCTTTGGCATTCATTTCAAGGAATTAGGTACCAGGGTCATCACCGCCCAGAATGCTCATGATTTGCACGTGTTCAATGCCTTTGAACTGCAGGTACTTGACGTAGTCCAAGATTGTTTTGTCAAAGTTTTTGTGGGAGTGCAAGAAGACAAGCATTTCTGCGGTGAGCTGTAGCCTGTGGTTGTGTTTCCAGACTATCTCTTTTACGACAAATGTTCCATCCTTTTCCTTCTTCAGCCTCACTTTAGCCCCGTAGTTAGTTCTGGCTGTCGTCTTGTTACGCTGTCTATTTGCTTCAGACACCTTTGATTCATAAACTCCATGGCACGTGCAATAAAGGTAGGCTCTTGTCTTAAACTTGGGGCCTTCCCTGACAGCAAAACCAGCGTGCTTCGCATATACGTTGTAGAAGTTCTTACTTTCTTCGAACGTTTCAAACCTCATCTCTAGCCTTGGCAGAACATAAGCTTCAATGTTAGGTGGCTGCACACAACAGTGATCAAACAAAAATGTTAGATGGGGTGGTCACAGCACCATGGTATGGACTGTGCTTTGTATTTTTTTTCTATATGAATACTTACATGTGTATAGCTCTGCGTTGCCTCTGGTGTTTGTTGTTCTCCCTGGTTTATGGGCGCCGGTGGTGTCACCCTTGGCACATGCAGCAATGCATCTCTTGGAGGGAGCAACGATGACGAATATCTCCGTCTCTCGTTGTACGGCTGTCTCTCCTCAGATTCATTGTGATGTTGCTCCTGTCTATATGGCTCATATCTTGTACTTTTGAACCTGCTAGAGTGGCCAAAATTTCTGTCTTTTTGCCCTGGTCTTCCCGTCGCAACTGCTTTTGCAGCACGGATGATTGATGTTGACGGAGCGACTGGTG